ACTTAGTATATCTCTGTATTAAGATAAGCAATGCATTACTGTAACAAACAAAAAGTTACTTTATTTAGTAATCCAGACTTGCCCAGAGTGCGGCTCTACACTGCCACCGTGTGGAGTCATTGGTGATTACATAGCTTGGTTTGTATCTATTGTGATTTTCTCTCACCATGCACTTAGTGGTGCCAAGCATGATCCTATATCTATTCTAGAAATAAGGAAACCTAAGCTTACATTGTAGTGTTCTGATTCAGATTGATGACTGTTCAATTGCGTCCAACTTTTTTTTCCCTTTAAAAATGTGTCTCTTAACATTTTCTGTATAATCTAAATCCATGAAACTGCATAACAATGGAAGCAAAAGCGAGAAAGGCAAGAGTAGGGGAAGACTGGAGTAGGGATGTCTCTATCTTTATCCAAACACTGTTGTTTCTTACTTTGTTTTATTCTGTATAGTGGGGTTTTAACAGTAGCCTAACAGATATATATTCTGTACGTGTTATAAAACAAAGGGTCTTTTTAATTAAAGGAGAACTATGAGGTGAGTGATTTCCACTCATCCTCATAGTTAAAGCCGACCTGTGACAAAGAAGCTGTTACAGGTCGGCTCTATTGATCGGGAATTGAGCAAAAACATGCAGCCAATCCGCTCACTTCCTGATCGTCTTCCTGCAGTGAGCTGTGACTGGCAGTCACCGCTCCCGGCAGGGATCCCCCCCCCCTTTCCGATCCTCCTGCGCTGAGTGGAGGGACGAACGGGGGAGGGGGCAGGGCACAGCTGGCTCTGCCTCTAGATAGGCAGAGCCTGCTGTCACTCACGCAGCAGGGTGAATCTTGACAGTATTGTTGAGATCCGTCCCAGCTGTGCCACTCTTAGTATATCCTGTGCGACCCCGAAAGTTCGTTGCAATACCTGTTGTGCTGTATGTCAATAAATAGACGTTTGCTTATCACTCTGGAGTGCCGGTGTCTCTGCTTTTTCTTATACTGAGCTTTGGGCCACGTGAGGAGGTTAATATATGTCCTTCCGTGACCCTAAGGAGAACTATGAGGAAACACACTTACCCCGTAGTTCTCTTTTAGCGATGCCATTTAAAATCAGATCCACATGATTAAAAACGTGATTTGTAGATGTACCCTACTGGAGGGAAGATCAGATGACCATTATAGATACCAGAGCAGAAACCTCGGAGCCTGCCGTCTCCGAATGGATTCATGGACATCCCACCCAAATGCTCCAATGCATAGCCCGATACTTCCTGTATCGGAAAGCCGGGCAGCGCGTCATTACGCGCTGCCTGGCAAGCCAGCTCCATGCTTCCTCATCACAGGTGACAAGAGAGCATGGAGACAGCCTTCCGACCAATCAGGAAGCCGGGCAGTGTGTAATGACTCGCTGCCCGGCTTCCTGATTGGTCAGGAAGCCGGGTGCCGTGTAACGATGTGGCGCCCGGCTTTCTGATTAGCCAGGAAGCCGGCTTCATGCTCCCTCGTCACCTCATGATGAGGGAGCATGGAGCCGGCTTCCCAGCCCATCAGCTTCCTAATTGGCCAGAAAGCCGACTCCATGCCTACCCGTCACATAGTGACGAGAAGCATGGGGACGCATTCCCTGCTAATCGGGAATTCGGGTGGCAAATCTTTACACGCTGCCCGGCTAATCAGAAAGCCAGGTGGCGAGTCATTACACGGCGTCTGGCTTCCTTAATGGGACTTCCGGTATCGGTATTGGCGAGTACCAAAAAAAAATTTGATTTTTTTTCTTATTAGTAACACTGAATGCAGGAAGTGATGTAATCTACATCACTTCCTGCATTCCGGGACTGGAGAGGAGATCAAAGGGAGTTCGTATACTACTGAACTCCCTTTGATCTGCTGTCACAGAGCCGTGCCCGTCCCGGCCGCATCGGGCACAGCGGATCTTGGGACCGGCAACGGCAGTGACAGCTGCTAATACAAGTGATCGAGCGTCTCTAGAGCTGCTCGTCGGGCTCCACTGTCCTCTCGTCACAGACAAGCGGATTTTTCATGCCCTGTATATGGGCACCTTTATGCAGCATTATTTCTAGAGGGTGTTTCCACTATCTGGCCCATGTAATTATCTTGCAGAAAATGTACTAATTGATGGGCGTTTGTTGAGCATGTGGTCCCGTTAGGCCAATCAATATCTGAAAAGTTGAAATCCCCCATAATTATAACATTGGCTTGCCTCCCCGCCATCTCTATCTGTGAGAGTAGCCGAAACTCCTCATCTTCCCATATGGTCGGGGGTCTGTAACATATACCCATCAATAATGTACCTTGATAGTTTTTTTATCTCTAGCCATAAAGCCTCTGCCCCCTCCTTAGTTGCATTATTCATGTCGTCATGCACATTCATTATGGCTTTTTCTTGGCATACATGCATACCCCCCCACCTCTTCTATGTTCTTGATCCCTCAGAAATGAGCTATATCCTTCCACATTCACTGTCCAATCATGTGTGTTGTCAAATCAAGTTTCCGTAATTCCCACAAGGTTGTAAATGTCTTTAATTAGTAAAAGTTCTAGCTCATCCATTTTGTTTCCCAAACTTCTAGCATTTGTGAACAAGTATTTACATTTTTTGATGGAGTTTTTATTATTATTGGTCTTGATTGACCCACTAAAAATTTCTTCCAGATTCTAATTTTTGGTCTCTGATAATTTATGTTCCCTCGTGTCTGTTATGTTCCCCTTATTACACCCCCCTGACTCCCTCTTCTCTGTGATGAGCAACCTATTCCATTTTTGCTCCCACTCTTGTCTGGCATTTCTTGATCCTTTCCACACAGTTCCTAGTTCAAAATGTCCTCCAATATTTTTAATAAATCTAATAAACCTAATCTATCCAATCAGCCATTTAATAAACCTAATCTATCCAATCAGCCATTTAATAAACCTAATCTATCCAATCAGCCATTTAATAAACCTAATCTATCCAATCAGCCATCTAATAAACCTAATCTATCCAATCAGCCAGCACTGACACTGCGTAGTAGTTGGTCCATCTAAATGAGCTTGTACAACCAGATTGCAATGTGTGTTGAGCTTTAAACAAGCTGGGCAGGACCATAGGCTATGACAAAGCTGTGTGTCAGCACGTTTTTGTCAGCCGGTTCCCACCACAGAGTCTGCATTTCAGAGCGTTCGACCTCTGGAACGCAAGCCGGCCAGCTCACTGTGTTCCGGTCTAGTAGTGCTTGCAGCATTTTTGCAGATCGCACTGGACCAGAACTCTGGCACTAATGTACTAGCGTTCCATTTGCTGGCAATCGAACTGCGGGTGGGGGCTGGCTGCGGTGCCATTAACTTCAATGCCCTCTCCCACCCCTGAAAGCAAGTGAGCCGGCCGGCTTGCGTTCCAGAGACTGAACGCTCTGGAACGCAGACTTTGTGGTGTGAACTGGCCCTAACAGTATATAGTAATTAGCCATGTGCGGGGGTTTGGTGTGAACCTCGTTTGCCTGAGCAAAACTATCAGCGACAGCCCCCCGCCACTATCCCTACCAGTATTGATGTGCCACCTACACTCAGTCCTAGAGTACTGGGAGCCCAGCCTTTGTGATGACATGTAAATAACAGGCCAGGCTCACAGGAAATGGACAAAATGAGTGCGGTTCTGCCCTGAAGATGACCTCCAGCACTGGAGTGACCAGGTAGTCACAGACAGCACTGGAGTGTGGAAAAGGTACGTAAAGACTGGCATTTTTCTTTTTAAACAGGAGGGGGGCAGGAATTGAAAGGAAAACCCTACATTTCTACTTCAAAGCCCCACTCTGGAATAACTTCATTAAAAAACTTTTTTATCCTATTACTCCCCTCATTGTAACAATGATCCTTTGTAATTAAATTGTTGTTTTTCCTCATCTCCCTATGCAGACGGAGACACAACAGCACCACATCTCATTTCCCCCATCTCTCCTCAGCCCACAGTAAACTACACATCTCATCATGTATTGGGATGTTAGTTCCTGGTTGGTCATTACTTGGGTGGCATCTGGGGGGCTAATCCTGCTTGGATGACTGGTGGGGCAGGCAGAGCTGATGAACAATGGGTAGAGCAGAGCAGATAATAGAACAGACAGGGTTCTCCTTCAGAATTAGATGCCGTCCACTGTTCCTTTGACGCTGGCATGATGAGCCAAAGAACTGTTCATAATAGGCAGGGGCGGTGAGGGGACCGGTCACCATGATGAGGAGAGAGGAGCCACTAGTGTCTGGTCCCCTGGACAGGAAATCCAAAATCTGGGTGCTGTCCCCATAACAAGAAAGGGGTAGAGAGGTGAGGGGTTAGACCCTTTAAGGTTTTGGGGAATATTCACCCCTCTTTATGTACTGGTGACAATTGTGAACAAGACAGAAAGTGAAGAAAATCTGTTTTGAGTTTTTCCAGAACAAAATCTTTCAATGGGGGCACCTGTTTCTGGGACAACTAAGAGGAGTGTTCCCCTGACTTTAGGAGATATTCTATAGCTTCCTGTTGTGTCTCTGGGACAGGAAGTGTATGAAACGTTGGTATGCAGACAGCAAAAATATACCCTTTTAACCCTTCCCTAATATAACCAAACCTAAAACAGACAAAGTTTTATGCTAGACTTTAACTGCAAGATAAAAGAAAGCCATGAGGGAATGGGTGCAGCTAGGATATATTACTATCAATGGGTGCAGCTAGGCTATATTTTTACAGCTTTCTGTCCTGCCGGAAACCACAGCATAATATGCAGAAAAGCGTAGCAAAGAATCGTGTCCCTGCTTACAACACCATGCACTGCCCAGATAAATGCAGAAAACCTGTCAGAGACCACCCCATACCACTAGACTAGGGTACCTTCCGCCATCCTCCCTCATCATTCCAACCCCCCCTCGCCACACGTTTTTTGTCATCCAAACAAAGCCTCGGAGAATGTGGGTGGAGCTTCCTTTTCCCCGCCAATACGCAACGAGGCTTGGAACGCACACGTAGCACACGCGTGCGTTCCATTGCTTTCTAATCAGCCGGGGGAGATGCTGAGGGGGCGTGTTGGCCACCGTACGTGATGATATCATTAGGACTTGCCCATTGCTTCTCTTTCTGCCCCTCCAGCACCGAACCGAACCGGGATTGAGTGTCTTATGTCATCAGCTACGTCATGGGGGTGAGGAGGCGGGCTGGGTGGATGAAGTAAATGGGGTACTTGCTATTACTGATGGGCTTTTGCAGGGATGCTGGTATGCTGTGCACTGGGTCCGGGTACTGGGGTCACAACTTCCTGGAGTGGAGGGTAGATTGGGAGCTGTGTTTGTGTGTGACCAGCAAAAAGTTGTGTGCATGGGTCGCTCTTCATTAGGATACAAGGAGTGACTGGAAGTGCCCAAAATGTGGCCTCTGTAGCCTCTTCCTGGGCTTAGTACATATGTCAGACAGTGTGTGATGATATTCCTGTATGCAGAATGTAATCAGCAGTTGTGTCCTGTGTGTGATGAGCTGTAGCCAAAATCATGGTGCTTATTAAAGCGGAACTCTGGGAATAACGAAAATCTTCCCTTGCGATGTGTTCCCCCTGTCACACTGCTAGGGGTAGAGGAATGCCATATAATAGTCACAGCAGCCGGCGCTCTCTTCTCCCTGACGCTCCAGGTTGTGGGTGTTCTCTCTCCATCCTTTGGGTCCTGCATTGGACTTGATGATGGTAGTAGGTGACCGCTTGCCAGATCACCCTAGAGAAGACACTTCAGAGGATTATTCACCCAGATGTAGCTTGCCATGAGTATTACCCCTACCCCGGGATAAAATACGGGGGCCCACTGCAAGGGTAGGTTTTTTTTATTATTCACGGAGTTCACCTTTAAAGTAGACCTTGCATCATAATAGAAGATACAGTTATTTGGTACAGCCCCTCGCCCTCATATAGAAGTGTCAGGGAAATATCTATATAGAAATAGTTTAGGGGTCAGTGATGTCTTTCAGTATCCTGGCAAAGCTGCGGATCCCAAATCTTGCAAGAATGTGAGTCTGAACCGTACTGAGAGATGTCATTGGCACCTAGTCAAGGAAGCTGGAAGCTGGGGTGTGTGGAAAGTAACTTTTTTTTTCTTTTTGTTTACCTCTTCTTTTTTTTTTTTTTTTTCTTCCTAGTATTTTTAAATGGGGGTGGAGCACTGCTTGACAGCGGTAATTTCCATTTTGATGCAATGTCTGCTTTAAACGCTATGGTGCAAAGAGAAATCAAGTAGCCGCATGTATTAGCCTGCTAGAACTCGTTACCTTCTCAGCATGAATTTCTGGATGAAATGGAGAATGATGTTGCTCTTTGTGCTTTAGTGCCGGTGCACACCTAGGCGACACCCCACCGCGTGGCAATCGTGCATGATTCCACGCAGCCAAGAGTTGCCAGGTGTGCACCAATCTCTCTGTGGGTGGCACTATTTTCCAAAGGCACCACAGTCGCGCCGTGGTTTCCCCGCTGCGATTCCGGATGCGTTGTGTACAAGTAAAATAGTCGCACGTCGTGTACAAGTACCTTTTTTTTTTGTTTCTGTGATACATGATGCGTGGCTGTTTTAGTCGCGTTCATGTTCGGAATTGCGGCTGGATACCGCACGGTCCGCCCAGTGTGACTGGGGTGGCATTGGAAAATAGTGGCACCCACAGCGCGATTGGTGCACACCTGGGGGACTCCTGACCGCGCGGAATCGTGCGCGGTTGCCACGCGGTGGGGTGTCGCCTAGGTGTGCATCAGCCCTTGCCTATCGTGATGCTGAACTTGTCAGCTTTTAAAGTGGAACTCCAAGAAATAACTTCTTTTTTAAACTTTTGTTGTGTATAAATAAGTTCTCTTCAGTGATGATTCATCTAGGTCCGGATCGCTGCTGTGTAAGGAAATAATCCTAATTCCATTCATCCCGGATGCTGTTGTCCGCGCTGAACTTCTGGTGCTGTGGCTCTAGTACATTGAAGGGACCTGTTTAACCTCCCTTTCTTTTTCCCTTTTCTATTCTCAGATTGCCTTATATTCTGATCACAGAATATGAGGTGTTTTGTGAATGAACCAGGGGAGATTTTGTCAATTACGCACCCACCCCCTCCCTTGGTCTATTCACAGAAAGCCTTGTACTCTGTGAGCAGAAGATAAGAAAAGAGGGTGAATGGGATCCCTTCACTGTACAAGAGCCGCAATTTTCAGCCCCAGGATCGGAACCTCTCCGCGGACAGTATTATCCAGGATGGCTTAAACTAGGATTGTTTCCATTCACAGCACTCCGGACGTAGGAGAGGTAACTTATTTGTACACCGCAAAAGTCAAAAATAGTTTGTATTTTCTGGAGTTTCACTTTAATGTCTAAAGGTCTAAAATGTGTCTAATGTCTAAAATGACTCTAAGGTCTAAAGTTGGCCAGAGATGGAACCATTTGTCATCCGATCAGCAGAGATTTGATGAACTTGTATGACAATTGGTTTGTTTCATGTCCTAAAACAATCGGGTGAGGACTGATAATGACACATTTTCAGAAAACAGATTTTCTGGTATGAAGGAAAATCATTCTTGACCGTTGAATGAGAGATGTGAACGATTGTGCACAGCGGTGGGCAGTGGAGGTAGTGGGAAATCTGTTTGAAATCTCCTCTGTCACACACTAACACAGAGCATGATGAATGGTTCCTCAAAAATGTTCTTGCTTCCCATATGGTGAATATTTTGTTTGTGTTTTTTATCTTTAAGGCTTGTTCACATCATGTCCGTTGATCTGTGTTTTTCTGCACACCCCCACAGATATATGGTGTGAACAGGTCACATAGAAAACAGTTGTCTCCTATGTGCATTGTCCATATCAGCTCAATGGACATGCTGTGGACAGGCCCTTAATGTTTCTCGATGGTATAGATATCTTGTAAATAGTTGAATCTCCATTTCATCGTAGCAGACTAATTAATGAAAATGGGTATCAAAATATTCAGATCACATATGATTTAGCAACAGGATTTTATTTATTTTTAGCAGGTTGATCCACCCTAGAATGATTGAGTTATTCGTGGATGCTAGCATGTGGGACAACCTAATAGTTTCTCATTGCTCAGGGTTAATAACTGTGGGATCCCACTGCCTTACTACTAGCAAAACTGTTAGTAGGGGACACTGCTCTTTTGTTAGGTCTAATGTACCTTGTATTAGGTTATTCAGACTGCAGCCGAAGGAGTAAGAATACTTAAAGCTGCATGTTGGTTGGGACCAGAGTCAAGAACTACAGCAGGGGAATATTGCCAATGGAGGCTCCAAAAGTCAGGGAAGGACTCTGCTCACCAGATACCACCTATAAGTGAAGTATCTGTTTTTGGGTGCACTGGTTCTTTTAAAGTGTTGGTAAACCCCAAAAAATTATTTTTCAGCAGAGGCTCCAAATCGGCTGTGTGCGGTAAATGGTAAATACCTGGTGATCGGTTGCCAGTACTTCCTTATTGACATTGGCAATGGTCTGAAAACCTATTTATCAGTCTTCTGCATATGCTCCTGTTTTATCTCTAGGAAAGCTATGCATTGGCACGGCGTCCACTTTTCTCCTCAGCTAGCACCACCGCATATGACACTCCTGAACACCCTGTGGGGTGACTCCAACTGTGTGATTGACAGCAGATCCTCCAGGGAGCCTTGCTGTCAGATACAGAGCTTGCTTCGTGGGATCGTTGGCTATGTGTCCGTGAGCAGAGTGAATAAAACTTATATAATATGAGTCCACATGACCGCAAGAGCACCAGTCGGCTCGGGGGGGGGAGGAATCGGCCAGGGCAACACTACCGTTCCGTCTGCGGGACGTGTGGCGCTGCTACTGAACTCCACCCACATATCAAACAGATCAGTGCACAGGAACAGGAGACTGATCGCATGATCTCAGCGAAGAGGATAAGAAATGGGTATTTGCAATTATTAAAATGCTGCGATTTTTGGGCCATTATTTTATTGTATTCATTCACTTCAGATAAGGCTAAAACAGTTCAAATGCATTTACATACACTTTAAACACACTCTTACTAATCCCAACTATTTTCAATTCATATCAAATATTCATGTATACGCTTTTTCTCCTTTGTACCTTAGCGAAAATCTGTTAGAGCGAAAGAGAAGAAGCAAAAGCGCCAAGAGGAGCGTGCTGCCATGGCTGCAGTACATGCTAAGGTGCAAGCAGCCAACCAGGTAAGTGTTATCTCTATATACATCTCCTCCAATTCCAAAAAAGTTGTGACGCTGTGTAAAATCTACATAAAAACAGAATGCAATAATTTGTAAATCTCATAGACCCAAATTTTATTCACAATAGAAAACGTATCAAATGTGTAAACCTGAGAGACTTTTTTGGACCATTTTAGGGAAAAAAATAAGGCCATTTTGAAATTGATGGCAGCAACACGTCTCAGAAAATTTGGGACAGGGCCAGGTTTACCAGGGGTGTAGCATGCCCTCTTCTTTTAACAACACTCTGTAAACGTCTGGGAACTGAGGAGACCATTTGTGGGAGTTTTTAGAGGAATGTTGTCCCATTCTTCCCTGATATAGGATTCTAACTGCCTAACAGTCCTTGGTCTTTGTCGTATTTTTCATTTCAAGATGTGCCAAATATTTTCAATCAGTGAAAGGTCTGGACTGCAGTCAGGCCCGTTAAGCACCCGGACTCTTCTACTATGAAACCATGCTGTTGTCATAGATGCTATATGCGGTTCAGCATTGTCCTTCTGAAATATGCAAGGCCTTCCCTGAAAAAGATGTCGTCTGGAAGGGAGCACAGGCTGCTCTAAAACCTGGATATATCTTTCAGCATTGATGGTACCTTTCCAGATGGGCAAGCTGCCCATTCCATACGCACTAATGCACCCCCATGCCATCAGAGATGCAGGCTTTTAAACAAAGTACTGATAAGCCAGAGGATCCCTCTCCTCTTTAGTCCAGAGGACGCGGCACCCGTAGTTGCCGAAAAGAATGTCACATTTCGATTCATCTGACCGCTGAACAGTTTTCCACTTTGCGACAGACCATTTTAAATGAGCTTTGGCCCAGAGAACACGGCGGCATTTCTGATTCATGTTCAGATATGGCTTCTTTGCTTGATATAGCTTTAACTTGCATTTTTGGATGGCACGGTGAGCTGTGTCCACAGACAGTGATTTATCGAAGTATTCCTGAGCCCATGTAGTCATGTCCATCACAGAATCATGACTGTTTTTAATGCAGTGCCATCTGAGGATCTGAAGATCACGGGCATCCAGTATTGCGTTTCGGCCTTGTCCCTTGCACACAGAGATTTCTCCAGATTCTCTGAATCTTTTACAGATATGATGTATACTGTATGTATATATATATATATATATATATGTGTATATATATATATATATATGTGTATATGTACTGTGATGATGATATATTTGAAGTCTTTGCAATTTTGACGTTGAGGAACATTATTCTGAAATTGTTCAAGAATTTTTGGATGCAGCTTTTCACAGATTAGTGAACCTCATCCCATCTTTACTTCTGAGACCCGCTGACTCTCTAAGATGCTCTTTTTATACCCAATCATGTTACTGACCTGTTGCCAATTATCCTAATTAGTTCTTCAGCTTTTCATTGTTATTACCACGTGATGTGCCAGCTTTTTTTTGCCCTGTCCCAGCTTTTTTGAGACCTGTTGCTGCCAACAATTTAAAAATTACCTCCCCCACTTTTTTTTTAGTGGTACATTTTCTCAGATTAAACATTTGATATGTTATTTCTGTTATGAATAAAATATGGATTTGTGAGGTTTGCAAATCATTTCATTCTGTTTTTCTGTAGATTTTACACAGCCTCCCAACTTTTTTGGAATTGGGGTTGTATGAATCTTTTATATTGTTTAGTTACTTGTCTGTATCTCTATCTTTGTCATTTTCTTTCTGTAGCTTGGTGACCCACTTGGTGCATTCCCAGTCTTCAAGAAATTTGACAGAAACGGGTAAGATTAAGATGGCCTTATTCAATTCAAGGAGTTCTTATTCCTATGTGCTGCTTCTTTTTTTTTTTTAATGGAGAATTATGAGGAGAGTGAAATACACTCATCCCCTTAATAAGAGCTGACGTGTGACACTGAAGCTGTCACAGGTCAGCTCTATTGATTGAGAACTGAGCGATTTACATACCGTGATTACTCCGTTCCCCATCTTCTCATTACAGAGAGCAGTGACTGTCAGTCACCGCTCCCCACATGGATTTACACTCCCCTCTGTTCCTCCAGTGCTGAGTGGAGAGATGGACAGGGGAGGGGGTGGGCACAGCTGACTGTGGCTCTAGAGGCAGAGCCAACTGTCAATCAAGCAGCGTGGCTCTGCTATATGCTGAGTTTTGGGTCACAGGAGGACATTAGTATATGTCCTCCTGTGACCCTAAAGAGGAAAATGGCAAAAAATGTTGAGCCATAGTTCTCTTAATTTCACTTGTATTAAAGTGACGCTATACTCGCACATTAAATAAAATTAAGTTCTAATATGTAAGCAATGAATATTGAACTATCTCAATGTTTAATTCTTCACCTTTTTTTATCGGCTTTAAAAAATGATTTATTTCTCCTGTTTTGCAACTTCTTGCCAAATAGTGGCTACTTTTCTTCTTCATGGTCACTGAAAAGTAGCCACCCTCTGTGCTCACTCTTGCCGAGGCCTACAACAAGACATGAGGAAGCATGATGCGCCCTCAGATCTCCTCTACTGATTCCTCCTCGCTGCTTAATGTCCTCCCTCAAATCCCTCCCATATAGATTATTTTGCTAGTTTAGGTTTTCATAGCTGGTAGGAATCCTATTAGTTCACTCACGTACGGGTATGGCGAGGAGGGAAGGGGGGAGGGGAGGAACCGACGTGTTAGAGTGTGTTATATGCACATGCGCACCTGGACCACTGCACACAATGTATTAGGGGAAATGTAGTCAGACAGCGGGGTGTGCGGACAGGATCAATGTGCCCTCCTGTAAGATCCAGGCCGGAAGTCAAAGGAGAACGGACGACGCAGGGGGAGCGCGCAGAAGTCTTTTAAACGAGGAAAAAAAAACGGTAATATTGTAATTTTAAAAATATAAACAAAAGCTCCATTTGTGAAATTATTATGTGCAGCTTACTAGAAGTAGAAGTAATGGGAGAGTTTTGTCACTTTAAGGTGAAGATACTTCCCTTCCAGCAGCCCATTCATTGAAAGGACACTGCTTTGTTTCATAGCCGCTGCATGTATTCCACATGTTTGGGTTTGTAGAATACCTGCTCCCCTGCCACATGCTGTAGTCCCTCCTGTTGGCTCTTATGTCGCTAGATGGTGGGAGGGCTCCCCACGTGTGGTGTGGGTAGCAGGTATTCAACCCACCCCCAGGTTAAATACGGAAACAAAACAAAAAAACACTGTTTTGCTGCAATTAAGAATAAGAGCTCTTTGTTGAATAAGCTGTACATGGGTTTTCTTCATCACGTATGCTTGTTGTTCACCCTTTCAGGTTGAATCTGACAATAGAGTGCAGCAGAGTGAGGGATTTGGACCAGAAGACTCTAGACTGGGCATTTGAACTCACAAAGACAAATATGCAGCTGCTGTAAGTTTAATTATTTCACTGTTATTTCTGGAGGTATTAGTTTTCCAGGTATAGCTTCTGTCAGTCATATATACTTTATTCTGAAAAACATGAACTCAAGAACTGCCTAGCAGATATTCTGAACCTTTTGTTTATGGAGGAACCCCTGGAAAAGTACATTTTAGGAAACTCCTTCTAAAAATTATTTACAGAACATAAGCCTGATCAGCAAGTTGTATGTTTAGTAATAAATGGAAACAAGTGTTTCCATTTATTAACAAGAAAATAATCTTCAGTAATGACCAGAAAAGAAACTCGTACAGTGGGAGGAAGGCTCCTTTTACCTTGGTGGCCAGTGGGAGATCTGCTACTTGGTGATCAGTGGGTGTTTGCTTACATGTGTAAAGCTGACTGTCGACTTCACACTGGAAGTGATTTGGGCAGCTATAAAGCTGCCTGATCACTTCCAGCGGCTGTTAGTTGTGCGCTGTCAGTTTCTGTGCTTGATCAGCTTCATTGTAGTGGAAATGTAACAATAGGGATCTGATAGATCCCTAATGCCTCCTTAAAGAGGAACTGTCACCTCTAATGTGCTGTCACATAGGGGGCGTGTTAGCCCTATGTGCTAGCAGTAAAGTTAAAAAATCAAAACACACAATTTTGACTTGTTTGGTATCTGTTTACTAAATGCAACCTCATCTTATTTCTATATTTTGCCAAAAAATGGGTAAGATCTTGTGCTTATGTGCACTAAAATTAATTCAAATGTGGGTTTGAGAAACCATTTCACTAATATGTGACAAAAAGTATTGCAACTGCTGCCATTTTATTTTACAGGGTCTCTGCTTTCAGGAAATCTATAATTCTGGATAGATCTTGAGGCCTAAAATGTGCAAAAAATGGCTCTGGCAGTGAAAGGAGCCCGGTTATATTTGTTGTTGGCCACACATAAAAAAGGGCAGTTATAGCCAATGGTGTGATAGGTTTCTTGTATACGGGCCACAATAAATTACACCAGATTTCAGAGGCAGTGTCAAAAGGGTTCTGCCTGTCTTTATCATTCTTTCAGCCTGGCTATACCAGAAGAATGGTTCACCAGAGGGGCTATTTGTGAAAGATCAGGTACACCCGTCCCACTTTAGAATTTTTGGCTTTCCTCATAATCTTTAGCAGAAAACCAGAAGCCAAGTTTTTAAAATTCAGTTTGGTAATAAGAAGTCCTGGGAGGACATCTCACATAGGACTCTATAGAAATCACTTTCAGCCTTCTGCATGCAGGAATATGGGAATATTCTGTTACAGAATACTTCATTTGTCCTCTAATATCAGAACTGTACCATCATATAAAATAGTAAGGAAACCACATTCCCCGTTTACAGAAGGCGTGCTGCTGCTGTGCATTGAAATACTGATATGCGAATGAGTTGCGATGACAAGTTGCATTTGAATGCAGCAATTATTTTGTATAGGCCAGGGGTGGGAAACTCCGTCCCTCCAGCTGTTTTGGAGCTTCAGGTCCCAGGAGGCATTGCAAGATTTATAGCCACAGACATGACTTCCAGAGGGAGATTTGTATGTTGGGATTTGTAGTTAAAGCACAGCTGGAGGGCTGGAGTTGCCCACCCCTGATATAGACAGATATTTTGGCACACACAAGCTGCAGGACCTTTATGCTGAGTTTGAAGGAGGACATGAGTTGCAATAATTACAAAGAATGTTTTCTCTCTGATTACAGCTATGAGCAAAGTGAATGGGGATGGAAAGAGAGAGAAAAGCGCGAGGAACTAACAGATGAGCGTGCCTGGTATCTTCTTGCCAGAGATGAGCTTGGAGCCCCTGTCGCTTTTGTGCACTTCAGATTTGATGTGGAGTGTGGAGATGAGGTTCTTTATTGGTATGAATGCAGCGGATATACTGTATATGCCTTTTAGAGTAATGCAATGCTGCACATACACAACATTGGCCACTGACATCTCTCCTAGGATGTGGACACTTCACTTTTATCTGTTTAGAGCAAGCAAGCCAGTGACATTGTGTTGGTTGCATTAGGCTTTCTGTTTTTAACAATGGCTATCCTGCAATTTCTTGCCATTCTTGTGTATAGTACCCACTGCAGACTATAGATGAGCTGGCAACCTACGCTGGTTCAGGCAGCTCCTCCATCCTATCCACTGAAATGATGGGCTGCTCCATAGTTTTCAGCCTGTATGTAGGTGGCTTCTCCATGGAGGGTCTGTGGAGAAAAGGCCACACTGCTGTATGCCAAGGCCTGCGAACACATGTGGAGGGACGGAAGATCTTCTTTTGCTGGCAGTAAATGGCCCTTGGGCAAAATTGTTGGCTGTTCTGAAGTCTATGGTGGACTTTTTATACTTGACAGAAGGGAGTTATTCCTATCGTTTCCTGTCATTACACAAGTTTTAGAAGCAAATGTGCCAGCAAAATAGGCAATTAGATTAAAATAGAATGTAAATACCTAACTTTTCTGCTACCCATGCCACCAAAAAGCTGCTCTACTTAGTAGAAATCCTTTATATAAGATCCGCAGGGAAACCAACTCTTCTGGGAGGGTTTGTCTCCTGGCTCTCGCACAGCTTTGAATGGTTCCTCCTGCTCACCTCCATGTCACTACTGTATCCTGTAAAGATGAGGTCAGCAGGAGGAACCATTGAGAGCTGAGGGATCCCAGGAGATCTACATTCCCGGATGTTTCGATTTCCCTGTGGCCTTCAGGTGAAGATTTCTTCTGAACAAAGTATTATACTGGTGCAGCGTACAGTAAGAAAAGGAGGTTTTCCATTTAATTATGTAGCTAAACTTTTGTGTAATTACATGGTGGGTTTAAGGTGTTTGTTATAGTTTACATGGATAGATCACATGGCTCTTTTGGAATGAAACACAGATGTTTCCACCTCCTACAGCTTTCTTGTGAATAGCTTGATTGTGATATAGAGCATTTTATTTAATTATAAGCAGTGATTTGTTATGTAGCAACTCACTGAGAAGTAAATGGTTTACTTTTCAGAACGCATGTCGGCTTCATATAATGCAGAATATCAGTTTGTTCTTAAAGTGAATCTTTTATCTGCACTAGATGATAACAATAAGTTGTATTGTTCAGTGCAGCTAAGCAGTACCATTTGTCAGAGCTGTGTCAGCTGAATTGCATGATATTCAACATAATGGAAGCTTTCCCACTCGTGTGATTCACCTCACTGTGCTTTGATCTAAAAGTGCAGGTTGTTCCACTGCCAAAGTATGCAGAACACAAGTGGGGCTTCAGGTTTAAGTTGTTTAAAAAATACTTTAAAGAAAGAATGCATTATAATTGTATCCTACAGTAAGTGCCCTTTCTGTATGTTGTGGATTACATTTAGTTTGCTCATCCTAATGCAGTATCAGCTTTTGTTGTATTTATTTTTTTAATATGATGAAAAATGCTTTAACAGTTGAAGCCAATTCAACTCGATGGCTCACTCTTATGAAGTGGCTACAACTTGGATCTAAAATGGAACAAAATGGGCAGAAATCCAAAATGGATAACACAAACCAATGAATTGTCAGTCGCATAGATCGGGGATAGACCTAGACCAAAGCTCTGGAATAATCTACAGCTGTGGTGACACTACAAATCTCTTCATGACTGTGACTGCCACAGTCTTGCAGTGTCTACTGAGATTTGTAGTTTTACCAAAGCCTGCCTACCTGATCTACAGCTTCTATATCTAATAAAGGGCGAGAGAGAGACGCTCACTCTCTCGGCATGCTTTTTTGGTTCAGGAACAAGAAATCCCAGAATACTGGGATTCTGGCAACCATAGGAGTTGAAGTAGTTGGGTGTTCTGGTACATACAAACGATGCCGGTTTTAAAATCAACTCTTGGCAAGTAGGTGGAGCCTCTCCCTATGTGTTTACCTGCTATATGCTGTTTTACTAGCACTATCATGAGAAATATATTGGAGGGGAATTTATCAAAACTGGAGCAGACTAAATCTGGAGCAGTTGCCCAGGGCAACCCATCAGCTTCTCTCTTCAGTTTGTTCCATTAAGATTTGAAAATTCAAGCGAGAAGCTGATCGGTTTCCATGCACAGCTGCTCCAGATTTTGTCTGCTCCAGTTTTGATAAATTCCCCATGTATTTTGTTCCTGTATACTGTTAGGTGTAACTTATATACTGAATACGAGCATTACGTTAGTGGAGAAAAATAAATTGCAGTTAATTTTCTTGATTAAAATACTCTTAACGAAAATATTGTTACGGCTGCTCAAGCATCTCTTCCAGTGTTTGTTTCACCCAACCCTTCTCATTGTTTCTTTTGCTGACAAGATGGTCTGCATGTACAGCAATGCAATATTAAAAGCATATTGGTACTTATCCTGTTATCATATTTTTGTTTTTGTGCTCTAGTTTCTAACTACTTTCTCTTGTCTTTCAGTTATGAAGTACAGTTAGAAGTTCGTGTCCGCAGGAAAGGAGTAGGGAAATTTCTGGTCCAAATCTTACAGTTGATGGCGAATAGGTGAGTGTGTTCAGTATACTGTTGTGTGGGCAACAATTGCACCTGTTGCTCATCCTTGGTGCACATTACATGGTCCTGTGGAAACTTCTTTTCCAGCGTACTTCTAGGTTTAGTTTAAAGGGGAAGTTTCTTCTAAACATAACATACAATTGTGCTTCTGAAACAGCATTGTCTTCTACTGTCTATTTGAAATATTCTGTCTCTGCTTTCCTACCTAGTTATTTTTCCCATCTGTCAATGTAGTTTAGTTATTTATATTGGTGTTAAAAAGTGAGTGTAGATATGATGGTGGAATCTATAACTGTGTAGAGACTTAAAAGGGTAAAGCTGGCCATACACCTGCAGATTTTCTATGGTCAGATGGAAAAAGTGCAACAGAATACCTCCATCTACTCTAAACTGTGTTGATGGAGGAATCTTCCGCTGGGCCAAGCTTCAGTATCTTGCTAGTCGGCACCGCTGGCTCTTAAAATACCTGAACAATGCCTGGATCCAATCAAATTGTTTAGATATTTTGACAGCCTGCGGGGCCGACTTGCAAGATACTGAAGATTAGCCCAGCGGGAGATTGCTCCATCCACACAGTTTAGCGTAGATGGAGGAATCTGTTGCACTTTTCCATCTGACCATAGAAAATCCGCAGATAATCTATAGGTGTATGGCCAGCTTAATTCTACTCTCCCAGGTTAATTTGGGAAAATGGAATTGCCCCCTCCAATCTGGCCGGGGATTTCCCCAAATTCACGTGGAAAAGTGGAATTACCCTTTAGGGAAAAGTATACTAACCGATGGGAACTAATCATGTTTCATTTCAGTAACATGTAATTTATGCTGTGGCTTATTTAAAGTAGAACTATGGGGTTAAGTCTTTTCCCCATAGTTCTTCTTAGGGCAACGGGAGGACACAAACTAGCATCCTCCCGTCACCCTAGGCTCAGTATACTGCGAGCTGTAGCTCGCGGTATACTGAGACGCCGCAGTATACAGCGAGCTGCTGCTCGCAGTATACTGAGACGCTGAAGCGGATCCCGACAATTGTGCCGGGATCCGCCCAGCTGCGTGACTGACAGCTGGCTCTGCCTATCTAGAGGCAGAGCCAGCTGTACCCGCCCCCGTCCATTCCGCCAGTCAGCGCTGGCGGATCGGAGCGGGGAGTGGGGAATCCAGCCCCTCCCCTGTCACGGCAGAGAGCTGTGACAGGATCGAGAGGTGAGCGAACGCCGGTATGTGTTCGCTCACCTCCCGATCTACTGAGCCGACCTGTGACAGCCTCATTGTCACAGGTCGGCTAGAACTATGAGGTGAGTGGAAAGTACTCAGCTCATAGTTCTCCTTTTAATAAACTTCACTATTACAAAGACCAGCCATGTGCTTTGGCTATCTGAGCACTGCTGCCAATGACTAACACTGGCTATACACATGGTAAGTTTCTGTCAATGTCAACCACATTTTCACCTAGCTTGAACTTTTTTGAAGACAAAAATGGTTAAACAGACCAAGGCAACCTGCCACTAGCATTTTTTATAAATAATTTACACTAATCATGGTAGGCCACATAAAGGATTTGTTAGATCATTGCAGTCAGGAGCTGGTTTAGGAGTGGTTCATATTTCTAGAAAATGACCATGTATGACCAGCATTAATGTCGGCTTATTAAATATAATTTCCTGACTGCCAAGTGTTGCCTCTTATTACTCTTTGCAGTTTATGAAAGTAACACATTTATTGTCACACTGTTGCAGTTTTGATGCACAGATCTTGGCCCTGTTTGTAGCTATCTCATTGACTGTTATGCGCTTCCCTCACTATTGCTACTTGTCTTCACAGTACACAGATGAAGAAAGTTGTCCTTACAGTATTTAAACACAATCATGGGGCTTACCAGTTCTTCAGAGATGCGTTACAGTAAGTCTGATTTAATGCTTCTCATGTTTGTTCTCCTTTATTCCCAATGTTATGCCTACCTTACTTTTCCCTTCAGGTTTGAGATAGATGAGACCTCTCCCAGTGTATCGGGGTGCTGCAGTGACGATTGCACTTATGAGATTCTGAGCCGCAGGACAAAGTATGGAGACACCTCTCATTCACATTCAGGACAGTGTGCTGGCTGCTGCCATTGAACAAACCTTTGGATGGACATGTGGATTCTTGTGGTTTTGAATGGACAAAAAATTGTCTTTTTGTTTTCCCCTCCTTTTTTAAATTTAGTGGTGTTTTAAATACCGCACTTTTGTGCACGTCCATTTGACTTGCACCGTTGCAAGTTCTTTTAATATTAAATAAATTCTCTTTGAACCCAACTAGCCAGTGTGAAGTAATAATCAATGAAATGAAAGATATAAATAATGTGATTGGATGAAGACAGATGCTTTTATATACAATTTCAGTGTCCCTGAGACTTGTATTGTATTAGATTTTTAGAACCAAAAGTAGACTCTGAAATACACAGTTGTAGATTGCAATGTTGTGTTCTTTAATACTGTGCCGTTTTACGTCCTTCTTTCAAAAGAGAACCAAGCTCAAACCTTTTTATTGGCTTTAATCTTCTTTTGGGTTATAACAGACCTGCACTGCAGGGAGAAGACCGTGAGCTGATTGATCAGTGTTAAGTAGTAGCTCAGTACTCGAACTGTGGAGCCGGCATGTGACAGCTGCAGTGTCCAATGCCAGCGCCAGTACATTTTGATTCTCCTTTCATGGAAGCATATAGACCGATATTTTTACCACTGAATAATGTGGAATAGAGTTTGAATGGTATAATTGAAAACAAATACAATGGGTTTATTCAAAATTGTGTTTTATTACTTGTAGGAATCATTTAATGCTATACGTATCCATGTACCACATAAAGGACTCGGGAGAAAAAAAAAGTGGATAGGTAATTTAGAAGCACTTTCTGTGCACAATGGAAGGACCTGCCTCATCGTACTCTTGCTTGCTGATCCACATCTGTTGGAAGGTGGACAGAGAAGCCAGGATGGAACCTCCAATCCAGACAGAGTATTTACGTTCAGGTGGAGCAATAATCTGTAGAATACGGAATAACAAAAAGTTACAAATCATGCAAGTACAAATGTTTATTTTAAAATAAGTGGCTTTCTACATTGGCTTGGCATGGCATGAATACAGGTTTTCCTTTGCTCTGTGGCCCCAGGAAGTTAGTCTGGTAGCAGTAGAGCCTTTCTTGGGGAATTATTAAGGAATTTGTATATTACCTTGTTATTTGTCAGTTTGCCAATTAGGTATGCTGCAATCTAGCTTCCAGTAAGGGTATTTTCAGAATACATTTGGATTGTGTAAGTGTAGCTTTTCAGTAGTTGTAATACTGTATAGGGTTGGGAGTTCTCGTTTAAACTTTGTTAAACGTACCTTGATCTTCATGGTGCTGGGAGCCAAGGCTGTGATTTCCTTCTGCATACGGTCAGCAATACCAGGGTACATGGTGGTACCACCAGAGAGCACATTGTTGGCATAAAGGTCCTTACGGATGTCAATATCGCACTTCATGATGGAGTTGTAGGTGGTTTCATGGATACCTGCAGATTCCATACCTAGAGTAGACCAAACAAGGTGTGTGAGAGGAGTTCTTTTCAGAGTGCAGATGATAAAGGTTGGAAATGATTGTCATATATTTAGGAAAACTGTATATTTACCAATGAAGGATGGCTGGAAGAGGGTCTCTGGGCAACGGAACCTTTCATTACCAATGGTGATAACCTGTCCGTCTGGGAGCTCATAGCTCTTCTCAAGGGAGGAAGAAGAGGCAGCAGTTGCCATCTCATTCTCAAAGTCCAAAGCTACATAGGCGAGCTTTTCCTTGATGTCACGCACAATCTCACGCTCAGCTGTGATAGGAGAAAATGGGCATTATTAGTAGAAGTTAACAGTAGCCTATCTCACCAAGACCAAAAAGATGCTTTCCATAAGAT